TATCCCACAAATGGTATACACATTCCTATACCCACATCTGTCCATTCATGCACATACAACTCTACTCACCCCCATATTCATGCACACCCATACTTATGTACCCCATATACACACACATATACATTTCTTCTACTCTATGCATACATCCTCATACGGTCCCACATATTATACAAACACATTCCCACACACACATTTATTTTCCAAATCCTTCCTCATACACACCCACATGTCCTTCTCCACACACCCACATGCCCTTCTCCACACACACTGTGTCACCCACACACTTGTTTCAGTGATTTGGGCTTCCACTATACCCCATACCTTTCTCAGTGACTGTTAATGCTTATATGTGGCAAAGGTCTGAGGTAAACAAGTGTCTCAAAGAGGTGACTGGGCATAAAGGTCCTTGCTCCTTTTCATATGCTCACCTAGGCCTCAGAGGGCACATGCAGCCCCATATCCTTGGAGTGGCATAAAGAAGCCAACTTCTTACCTCAAGGGCTTGTGTCCTCAGAGTTCCAGTGGGGGTCAAGGCTGTTTGTCAGGTCTGTAGGCCTGCGTGCTGAACCAGCAATTAGGCATGGCTTCCTACATGGCTAGTTGGCTTATTTTAATTTGCTTTTGAGTATATTGCTTTGCCAGTTCTAATTCCAGAGGCTCTGGTACTGCCTTAATACTATATGGGATAGCAAGATACCTTTTTGGGGTTCAGACTGGAGAAGTGATATTCCCTGGAAAAAGTGGAGCCTGTGTCCCCTTCAGTGGTATCTAGAAACTGGGTATGAAGCCTGCAGGGCAGCTCCCCAGTCTGTTAATAGTCTGATGTGCTTTGGGTTTCATGGTTCTGCTGCTGCTCCTGTCTGAGCTTCCCCAGACATCTTGGCAAGGTTCTCCTAAGAAGTTCTGTCCTGTTGAGAAAGGGAATTTGAGTCTATGACAATAAAAATGGTACCGTGAAGGTGGCTGGAAATACATGTACTAGGGCTACAGAGTTCTTCAAAAATGATGAATATACAAATATAATCACACACAGATATATAGGCACACATACCCAGCAGTTTAAGTCCAAAAGTAATGTTGCTACTTTATTTTCTTAGTGAGAGTAATAGAAAACATTCAACTCAGCTGCTTCTAAAAATTATAAGCACAAAGCTTCAGTCTAGAAGATGTATTGGAAAGCACAGAGAATACTAAGAATATGCTTCAGTTCCATATTTTTGGACTGGCTAGGGATGAAGGAAAGAGAGGAGAGGAGTGGGGAAGAGGGGAGAATGTAAAGGAGAAAAGAACAGGATGGGGACAGTACAGAGGAAAAGGTGACAAAGAGAAAGGAGGCAGAAAAGAGACAGGAGAGACAGATTTGCAGTGTCGGTTGGGAGCTGTGGGCTGCACAGAAGGCTGTTGCTGGTGAGCACTCCCTGTGATTTGCTGATTACTTCACAACCCTAGCCGAAGCTGTTCTAATCCTTATGCTTCTGTATCAGAAGTTCTTAACCTCTTGGGGAGTCTTGGACCCCTTTGAGATTCTGATGAAAGCTATGCACTTTGCCTGGAAACACACACACACACACACACACACACACACTCACTCACACTTGTAGAAATGATTTCATGGATCCCACTGAAGCTCATCCATGAAACCCAGGTTGAGAACCTCCCACTTTACAACCTCCTGTCATTTGGCTAACCAGAACAGCATATCTGTGGGCAGAAATATTATTCTTTGGGCTTAAGTAGTTAATGATCAAACTAATATTACCCAAACCTCAGAAGGAGTCATAAACTAAGATTTGATCAGAAGTTCTTTACTGCTTCCTGTGTATTCTTCAGTGCCTGCTAAGAAACACAAATGTAATCAGTAAAGCCACTGGTTGGATTCTGGGTACATACAAGATGTTTTGCTTCTTGGTGCCAGTTGTAGAACATGGGTTTGTCCATGACACTTGGGGATTTTCCTCAGTGTAGCTGAGGCTTTGTTGTTTTGTTTCCCAAAGCATCCCAGAACAGGTGGCCAGTTTTGAACCGCAATTATAGTAAGTCCTCACTTAACATTATCAATAGATTCTGTGACGTTAAGTGAAACAATGTATAAAGGTACCAATTTTAACCTTAGGCTAATTGATACAAACAAGAGTTAAATTCCTATGGCATCTTATCAACATTACAATGAAAAGATGTTGAAGGAGACAAAGTTATTTTAGGACTGCTGTATATGTATTCATTTACCCTCCTTCCCATCTGCTTCTCTGGAGCACTGAGCACAAACAGACAGCTCACTCTAAGGTGCTTCTTTAGACATCTTGGGTGACTCATGTATTTGGAGAAAGTCCAAGGCAGAATGGTAGTTATTATTTGAGAAGCCCTCACTGGGCTTGAGACCAACAAAAGAAAGGGACCCCAGCAGGATATAGGATGTGGTTATCTCTGGGACTGAGGAAGTAGAGGCTTGCCAAGTTTTATTCTGGGTTCCAGAATTTAATCCTACATCCTTGCCCAGGTACCCTTCAGACAAACTGAAAACCCGGTAAACATCAAGCCTTGAGTGGCATGGATATCTGGTTTTGATATCATTGGTGCCAGAATCCCCTGTCTTCTGTTGACAAGCAACTTACCATGCACTGCAGCATAAACTTGGGCCCAGGGAGACTGGCTCAGGTTTATTTTGGCAGTTTGTGGAGTTTGGTATTTTAGCCCTCATTCTCACATGCTTTGCATGGATGGCTGAGTTACAGAGGAGCTAGCAGCGAGTGACTGCTCTCCCAGACTGCCAGGTTTTGTGTGCTTGTGGTGGGTCATGTTTGCTGTGTCATCTTCCTGAGCCTGTTGGATATAGCACTTCAAGCAGGACTCTTGTAGTAAGGATGGTTGGCATGGCATCATCCACGTGCTTCAGATCTTCTTATCCCAAGGTTCTTGGGATCTCAGGGAGCCAAGAGTAATGGACAAACCCTCCACCTAGCCCTTTCACACCTTTGCTCCTAACCCAGGAAACCGGTACATGTTAGAGCAATCTACTTTCCTTCATCCAAATGCAGCCTCTTCCTAATGTTTAGGACAGATGTGTTTGACACATTTCACTGAATGATACCTTCCTTGACAAAGGCTAAGGCCAAATCTGCTGTTGCCCAAATGAGAGAAATGGGGAAAAGGATTTGGGGAAAGGAGGGGCAGAAGACAGGCAGGCCTAAAGAAGTACATAGTGATTTTTGCCAGAGGGTCTCAAGGTTTGGACAGCTGGGTTGAATCTTGGTCAGCATACTTCTTAAGACTCGCAGGAGCAGCTTCAGTTTGTGAATGGGCCTGGCAAAGGAGGAGCTAGTCCTGTTGTCTAGAGGAACAAGCGCTCCTCCATTCATCCTCGTGCAGGCTTTCTCTAATTCCTTCTCATTTCCTCATCGGGAACCTGGGGCTAAAGAGGGCTTGTGATTAGGTCCTGAGAGGACTAACTAAGTACTTTACATACTTAATTGTACCAAAGGTAAATTAATAACTTGAAGAGGGTGAAATGAGCTCTCTTGTAGAAGCTAGAAACAGAAGGACTTGAGAAAGACGCTGAGGAATTCTTGTGCCTTACTGAGTCTTTTGAATTCAGCTTCTGCCCGTGGACTTTCAGGACTGCCAGAGAGCTCTCTGTGAGCTGAGGGAGCCTCCTTAAACACAGCCTCTCATAAAGATGATGCCAGATGCTGTGAATGAGCTTTTCATGGCGGGGTTAAAAAAATACTAACCTAGCCTGGCCAGTGTTGCTCAATAGTTGAGTGTAATCCCATGCACCAAGGGGTCACTCGTTCAATTCCAGGTCAGGGCATATGTCCATGTTGCGGGCTGGATCCTCAATAGGGGGTGTGCAGGAGGCAGCTGATCGATGATGTTTCTCTCTCATCAATATTTCTATTTCTCTCTCCTCTCTCCCTCTCCCTTCCTCTGTCTCTAAAAATCAATAAAAACATTTTTAAAAAATGCTGATCCAGGTATGGGTTTCCAATATGTAGGAGCTCCACAAGTTCCACCTGGAAAGAACCCTTCTGAAAGTCTAGGGTGGGAGCCTAGAGATCAGGAAGAGGGTTGAAATGAGGCAACAGAATCCATCTGAAATGAAAGCGTGTGGGGAGGGAGGATGAGGAGATATAGGACATCTCTGTGGAATAGCCAGCAGGTGGGTGGGAAGGTAGTCTCCATGGTAACAAGTGTCCACAGCAGCAAATCCCAGCAGGTGGGTGGGAAGGTAGTCTCCATGGTGACATATCTCCTGGCAGCAAATTCCACTGGGTGGGCGGGAAGACCTGTTTCTGTGGTAACGCACTGCACTGACTCCCCAATTTCTCCACCAGCTGAAAAAGATGGTCTAACCCAGTGGTTTTTCAACATTAGCAGGCATCAGAATCACCTGGAGAGTGTGTTAAAAATGCTGATTGATGGGTCCCATCCCCAGAGTTTCTGATTCATTAGGTCTTTAGAGGAAGGGAATGAAGACCTGTCCTGAGAATGAGGGGAAGGGAACATCCGAGGCCCTGGAAAGAAATGGAGATGGACTAACTTGTATGGGAAGGGCAAAGAGAGCTTAGGGGTTGTTGCCTCTTAGGATCTTCACTTTCTTCAGAGATAGAAGGAAGGGGAAAAAGAAGTAACTACAGATTTACAATGTGCTCAGCATATTAGTGATGCTTATTTATGTTCCTTTTATCCTTGTAACAACTCAGAGTATTTTTTATCCCCATTTTACAGAAGAGGAAGCTATAGCCCAGAGATGTTAAATAATTTGCCAAAAGCTACATGACTAGTAAGTGGTAGAGCTGGGACTCGAACCAAGGACTATTTGAGTCCAGGGTCCCTGCTTTTTCCACTCTATAGTGCCAGGTGCTAGAACCATAACCAGGATAGTACATCAGGGCAGAGGATGCTGGGTCCTGGCCATTTGCAGTTCCTGCAGGTTAAGTCTCCCAACTGGAGGCATCCCCTTCTAATGGTCTGGATACCCCTCCTTCCAAACTGGAGAATGGGTGGGAGGCAGGGAGCCAACCCTTCCTGTACTGATGGTGCTGGACCTTGCAGAAAGGAGCTCTGCTTTATACTAGCTAGGTGGATAAAACTGTGCTGCATGCTCATCCTCTGTCCTCACAGCCCCTTCTATCATACTGCAGGTCCTCCATCCCTCCACCTTCACTGTCCTCATGCCCTTTGTTGAATCCAGGTTTCCTGAGCACTGGAGATCAGGCTGCCAAGGGCAACTATGGGCTCCTTGACCAAATTCAGGCACTCCGCTGGGTGAGTGAGAATATTGCCTTCTTCGGTGGCGATCCCCGTCGTATCACAGTCTTTGGCTCAGGCATCGGTGCGTCCTGTGTCAGCCTCCTCACGTTGTCACATCACTCTGAGGGTGAGTAGCTCTGGGAGCAAATATGAACCAGCAAAGTGCTGGCTACCCTGCACCTCAGGCCTCTCAGGCTCCAGAGTGCCCAGTTCTATGCCCCGGAGCACCAGGAGAATCAGCCCACCCTCTTCTATCAGCTCAGTATACTTTTGGGGAGAAGCTGATGGGAAATGTTTCACTAGAAGAAGATGGAATTCTCCCAATGGGAGAGAGGGGAGGAGAGAATCCCACTTACAGCTTAGAAAAGTAACCCCATTTACATCCCCTTCTGACATCAGAGTCTTATTTGAGTGAGTGGGAATCCATTGCCTCTCTCTGAAGGGACAAGAGTTCTTTTTGAGGCAGGGGATCTTTCAGTTAGGGAAGGACACACGACTGCAAGGTAGAGCTCTAGGGTGGAAATTAGTTTTTAGGTGTAAGAAACACTCATTCTCTGGTTTTCTTTCTGACGAGCAAGTCTGTACAAGAAGGGATCTTCCTTGAGGGGGGATGGGTCCCAGGTAAGGACTGCTAACCTGCAGGGCAGACTTTTTCTGAGGGTAGAAACCTATCATCGGACTCGGACCTCCTTGTGGGCTGTACAGCCCTGCTAAAGGAAACTCTCATTTTTAGCCCCAAGGAAAGCCTCTCTCCTTGCTGTGTGTCCCTCTGCCAGTAACTCTTCCAAGGGGGCTGAATAGGCCCTTTTGTGCTCACAGGAAATGTTCTCATCACCTCTGGACTATAGCACATTCTGTCTCTGAGAGGTAAAGGTGCCTTTCTCTGAAGTAAGGAAATGTGTGAGAGACTTTTTTTCATTGAAATCAATCCCATGAGTTAGTGATATTCTCACAAGAAGACTTGCAGTCTCTCTTTGAAGAAGGCCTATCTCTCTGAGAGAGAAAAATCACCGGCTCTGACCTAGAAATCCTCTCTCCCTCTAGGAACTACCCCGGTGAGGGAAGTCTAAGCTGGGATCTGCATCCCACCTTAGAATGTGTTTCTAGGTGATTATAATTGGGGCAGGAGTCCCTTTTCCACAAAGATGGATGAAGTGACTGGCTGTGAGGGTGCCTCTGTCTGAAAAGAGGAACGAACAGTACCTCCTCTGGTTGGGACTATTTCACAGGGAGGAGAAGGCCTTCTTCAGAGTGGTGCTATACTCTGTCTCCTAGCGGGCCGGTGTCCCTGGAAGTCTGGCTGCTTTAAAGATTTGTTCTCTCTGTCTTTCCTTAATTGACTCATGGAGAATAATCTTTTGAAAAGTGAGGCTGTCTCTTAAGTTGTCATCTGTATTTCTCTCCCTCTCTTTCTGCCCATGCATACTCTCTTTCTTTTAGAGGAATGGAATTGTGTGCCTGAGGACCAGATTATCCCTTGGCAGTGTTGGGGCCAGGGAGAGAATGATACCCCCCTATTTTAGGAAAGAATCATTCATTTTTTTAGTTTGGGGGACTGGCTCCCCGTCAACTAGGGGAAAATCTGGATCTGAGGCCTCAGTAGCTTCAAGAAAAGGAAAGTCTCTGTGGACACTGTGGACTGGGAGGGCACATTCCCTGGAGACTTTCAGACCCCAAGAACTTTGCCCTCAAAATCCTTCCCCAGACTCCCAGAATGTGAGGCTCTCTCCTGCTTGCATTTCTCATCTCTCATGAAAAAGACCCCTTTGTGGTGGAAGCGCCAGCTCCCTGGTGGTGTGCTGGCACAGAACTGGGCCCAGCTGGGCAGGAAGCAAGAGGGGAAGACAAGGAGAGATAAAGAGAAAGAGCATAAGGAAGCTGATGTCTAGGGCCAAAGGGGTTAATTCTTCCTGACATATCCTTAACCCCCAAGTTACCAACCATTGCCCCAGGACTAGGAAGCTAGAAGCAGGCAGTGGACCAGTCAGGGAAGGGACCCAGAAACCCCTCCTCTGGTCCTCACCAATCATCCCAGCCCAAAGGATTTTTACTCTTTTCCAGCCCATTCAACCCATAGGGCAGCCTCAGTAACAAAGGAATGAGGAGATGTTTGATTTGTCCCTCAGAGACAGGCAAGGGAGGCCTGGGCTGTGGGTAACAAGACAGATCTGACCTGGTGTTGCCTATCTTCTCTAGGGCTTTTTCAGAGGGCCATCATCCAAAGTGGTTCTGCTCTATCCAGCTGGGCTGTGAACTACCAACCAGTGAAGTATACCAGCCTGCTGGCAGACAAGGTGGGCTGTAATGTGCTAGACACAGTGGATATGGTGGACTGTCTTCGGCAAAAGAGTGCCAAGGAGCTAGTAGAACAGGACATCCAGCCAGCCCGCTACCATGTGGCCTTTGGCCCTGTGATTGATGGTGATGTCATCCCTGATGACCCTGAGATTCTCATGGAACAGGGTGAGTTCCTCAATTATGACATCATGTTAGGTGTCAACCAGGGTGAGGGGCTCAAGTTTGTGGAAGGGGTGGTGGACCCTGAGGATGGTGTCTCTGGCACTGACTTTGACTACTCCGTCTCCAACTTTGTGGACAATCTATATGGATATCCTGAGGGTAAGGATACCCTGCGGGAGACCATCAAGTTTATGTACACAGACTGGGCAGACCGTGACAACCCTGAGACCCGCCGTAAAACACTGGTGGCACTCTTCACTGACCACCAGTGGGTGGAACCCTCAGTGGTGACAGCTGATCTGCATGCCCGCTATGGCTCACCTACCTACTTCTACGCCTTCTACCATCACTGCCAGAGCCTCATGAAGCCTGCTTGGTCAGATGCAGCTCATGGGGACGAAGTACCCTATGTTTTCGGTGTCCCTATGGTGGGCCCCACTGACCTCTTCCCCTGCAATTTCTCCAAGAATGACGTTATGCTCAGTGCTGTTGTCATGACCTACTGGACCAACTTTGCCAAGACCGGGTAAGGAGAACGTGGGGGTTCTTCTTTGGGACCCCAGCATGCCCTCCCCTCTGCTCTATCTAAATCTCTTCCATCATCTCCCTTCCTAAAGTATTCCCCAAGTCTTGCTTGGTAACCCTTTCACACACAACCCTCCGTACTTCCTCCTTTTGAGTCTTTCATGCCATTTCCTTCCCTTAAAATTTTTGCTCAGGCTCACAACTCGGTTAACATTAGTACTGAGCAGGAGTGAGAGTCATTGGCTAAACTATGGGATGCAAGGTTAAATGGCCGGAGGCTGTGTGAAGTAGGAGTAAAGTACATTCAGAAAGAGCCTTTAAAGGCTCTTCGGAAAACTGGGCAGCTGAAAAGATTGATGGATGCTCAGTAGCATGTGAAAAGGAAAAGTGGCATAGCATGATCTTACAGGATGGGCATAGGGAAGGATGAGATGGTTCCATGATGCTGTGGGCAATAGGAGTTCAAGGCTAGGGAGGAGGAGTATGGACAAAGGGAGGGGCCCTGAAAAAGATGGAAACAGTGGGAAATTTTAGACTGGGGAGGAGGTTTTTAAGGGTGGGCGTGAGAGGAAGAATACTGGGACCTTTCCTCATCTAGGTAGATTGGTGACCCCAGATTTTCATGTGATATTTCAGGGATCCCAACAAGCCGGTCCCCCAGGACACCAAGTTTATTCACACCAAGGCCAACCGCTTTGAGGAAGTGGCCTGGTCCAAATACAACCCCCGAGACCAGCTTTACCTTCACATCGGGCTGAAACCGAGGGTTCGAGATCATTACCGGGCCACTAAGGTGGCGTTTTGGAAACACCTGGTGCCCCACCTATACAACCTGCATGACATGTTCCACTATACGTCCACAACCACCAAAGTGCCACCCCTGGATACCACCCACAGCTCCCACATCACCCGAAGGCCCAACGGTAAGACCTGGAGCACCAAGCGGCCAGCCATCTCCCCTGCCTATAGCAATGAAAATGCCCAAGGGTCCTGGAATGGGGATCAGAATGCAGGGCCACTCTTGGTGGAGAACCCTCGTGACTACTCCACTGAATTAAGTGTCACCATCGCCGTGGGGGCCTCCCTTCTGTTCCTTAATGTTCTGGCCTTCGCTGCCCTCTACTACCGTAAGGACAAACGACGTCAGGAGCCCCTGCGGCAGCCTAGCCCTCAGAGGGGAGCCGGGGCCCCCGAATTGGGAGCTGCTCCTGAGGAGGAGCTGGCAGCATTACAGCTGGGCCCCACCCACCATGAGTGTGAGGCCGGTCCCCCTCACGACACACTGCGCCTCACTGCGCTGCCCGACTACACTCTGACCCTGCGGCGCTCCCCTGATGACATCCCACTCATGACCCCCAACACCATCACTATGATTCCCAATTCCCTGGTAGGGCTGCAGACATTGCACCCCTATAACACCTTTGCCGCAGGGTTCAACAGTACTGGGCTGCCCCACTCACACTCCACTACCCGGGTATAGCTCCAGCCCAGAGCACAGCCTATCTCCTGGCTCCCTTCCTCCCAGATCCACGAACACACATGCACACACAGACACACAGAGAAACACATACAGATATATATGTATACGCACGCACCCACGCCCAACAGCAGACCCACCTGCACAAACATAGATAGACGTGGACATGCACCCGCATGTACAAAAACACAAATAAGGAAGTAAACCTAAACAAACCCTCCAAATGGGGATGCAAATGAGTCCTTGGGAAACTGAGGACCCATGGGACAGCAGCCGAAGCCAGCTCCTTGAGCCTGACCACAGACTCTCCTGGGGGCCTGAAAGCACCAGCTGGACACCCCCTTGGTGCTTGCCCTCCGCCTCTCTTGGAACCGCACCACCAACCAACTCCAGACTTGGGAGCTGTAAAGAGCAGAGTAGCTCTTTCTCCCCTAGACTTGATCTTTTTTTTCTGGTCTTGTTTTTGTTGATTTTAAAAAAAAATGGAACAAATCCTTCTCCAACCTGTGAGTGCGAAGAAGCTCCAGAAGGGAGGGCCCCAGCCCAGGTCTTTCTGGCTCCAGTGTTCACAGAATCCGACCAAGGAACAGGACCCCCAAGAAAGAAACAGATTTGAGTAAGACCACAGGTTGGAAGGAGGAAGGGGCTATGGCCGGATGGGGCTGGAGGCCATAGGGGAGAACTCTCCAGCCATCTCTGTGTCCCTGTGAAGGGCTGCAGACTGCAGAGTAGATTTGGTGAATGAGGTTCTGTGGAGTTCACGCCTCTGTCCTCGGGGTAATGCCATCAGAAATTCACCCCATTTTATTTACAGTCTCTTGTGTCTGTCATTTCTCTTTCAAAAAGGCAGTGTTTTTTGTTGTCGTTGGCTTTTTTTTTTTTTTTTTAAAGAAAAGTTCTTAAAACACTAACAGAAACCCATGGAGTTTGTCCTTTGTAAAAATTTTAAACACAGTGTCTTGTTATAAAAATAAAAAATCCAGTTAGCACTCCCAATTTGCCTCCCTTGCACAGGCCTTGCCCTAACAGACCTCCCAGCTGGGTGCCTCTGCAGGCTAGGAATCACAACAGCTCTCCGCCTCCTGTGCCTTTAAACTGATACATGTCTGGGCTGCGCTCTGCTGGACCCGCATGAAGGCCTCTCCAATCTTCATCAGGTTGCTGTCCCCACCCCCAGGGCCATGGGTTCCTGCTGCTGAAGCCTTCTCTTAGTGCCTCAGGGCCTCCTAATGAAATAGCAAAAATAACACTTCTTTCTCCTCTGCATGCCATCACGCTGCTGCCGCCTTCATCCGTGCTGCCACTGCCACCAGGGCCACCACCCTCATCCTGGACTGGGGGCTGGGAGGAGGTTTGACCTCTAACATGCTGAAATTCCTACTCATATCTGAATCCAGTGAGGCATCAGGTCTGTAGACTCCCTTGCCTTGGGTGACTGACAGAGCAAGGGCCCTCTCCTCCCCAGAGATGCTTGTGTCCTATTCTGGTCACTGGAATTGGAGAAGTTCATTGGGGCCCTGGGAGCAGTTTCTCTCCAGGATTATAATCAGTGACTCCCTATCAACCTTGGGGGACAGATTCAATGAGGTTTACAGGGTTAGCATTATGGTATTTCATATTATTCTCAATGACTTGAAGGGCTGAACCAGCTCAACAAGTGTGACAGTTGGGTGGGGTTGCTGATACCTCAGAAACCAAGAATATAATTCTTCTAAATGACCCTGACAAAATGAGGGAGATGAACCAACACAACAGGATGATGTTCAGAGGGGATGAACACAAGGTAGTATAAGGACCAAAAGAGAGATGGGCAATGATTGACTTGACACAGTATAGTTAAAAAAGAAAAAAAGAACTGGGGGCAGAGTGTCAGGGTGGGTCACAGCTGAATGAGTTCATAGTGTAGAGTTTATTCCTATTCTCTCTCCTTTTCCCTTCTTCTCTTCTTTCCCAAACAAACATGAACACTAGCATATAACACAAATATAGCATGAAGTGGCTGGGAGGTAATCAGGCTCTGAGTTTTAGAATTAGAAGTAGCCTCAGAGTCATCTGGTCCAACACACTTATTTTACAATTGGTAAAATGGGCCCAGAAAAGTCCAATGTCACAGTCAGTGTTAGAAACAGACATGGAGTACAGTCCAGAAATATATGACCTTTCCCATGGTCCTCAATTTTTTTTTTTGCTCTGCCTAGCATTGGTTATGCCTTTTAAAGCATTAATGTGTCTGGCCTTCGTCAACACATTTTCAGCATATGTGGAAAAGCTGGAGAGGGTCTGGAGAAGAACAAAAACAATGTGCCAAAGGACTAGTGTGTTGTTTTTTAATTTAGAAAGGAGGAACATGGTGAGGAAACATTAAATAATTGTAGAGCACCTACTAAGTGACAAGTGTGTTATATCTTTAAAAAGTTAACTCCTAAATAAGGACAAAGCTGCCATTTCTTCTGACAATGATAGAGGGGAAAAGATGGTTAGATACAAGGAAAAACTTTGATATGGATAGGAGGTGATCATGGCACTCAGTAAGTTCTCCAAAATAGTTGAAAAATGAATGAAAGACTACTACTAAGGAAAACACTGGTGTTCATCTTCCTGAAATCAGAGGGCTGGATGACATGAACTTTTTAGGTCAATTCAGAGTCTTTGTTGTTATAATCCTTTGATTGCTCCATCTCAGATATTACCAAACTGGGCCTCCTCTCTTCTGGTGTGTGTGTGTGTGTGTGTGTGTGTGTGTGTGTGCCTCCAAATTAGGAGGCTCTCTATTTGGAGAGGATTTAAACATTGCCTATCCTCTAAGAACTCAAGGTCTATAGCAAACCCAGCTCCAATTCTATTTGGGACCCATCAGTGAGAGATTACAGTTGATCTTCATACCTTTGAAAGGTCTGTCTGGGTTGCAGAAGTGGCCTCCAAGACAGGCAGGGTTTCAATCAAATTATAGTCAGTGCTATGCTGGGGTAGCTTGAGGGTTCGTAGCCCCATTACTGATAGCCAGCCTTGAGCCCAGCTAAAAAACGCAGCTCTTTGTTTGGAGAGGGGCTGAGGATATACTTGGATTTTATTTCCCATTGCAAAAATCATTAGTGCCTAGAATGAATGTGTCCAACCTGCATTCCTAGATTTATCTGGTTTCTGTATTAGTCCTTTTGGGAGCTGGACAAAGCTATCTTGAGGTCTAAATTTGTGGTGTGTGTTAAAAACCAGATGTTGGTCACTGTAAAAATCTCCATAGAAAGCAAGTATGATTGTTAAGACTATAGGCCTGGCCCTGTGCTAGTTTAGATACTGTGAGGGATAGAAGATACCCGCTTTGAGGTGCATACTATCAGGAAGACAAAACTGAACTATGATAAAAATGAGTGAAATGCATAATTTAGCATGTGACTTCAATTGTATGGTTAAGGTTAAAGGGGCTAGAGAAATTGCAAGACAAGCTGGGCGAGGGGGACTTTTGGGGGACATAGTAGGCATTCCAAATTGGGAGAAAAGGCTCGGCCAGAACAACCACACCAGAAGGTCTAGGCATGCTTAAGTTGCAGTGAGGAACTGACCTGACTGAAGTAAAGGGTTCAAGTTAAATAGTTGGACATCAGATTGGAAAGGCAGGTTGCGGAAGTCTTTATAACAGCAGAAGTGTTTGGGTGTTATCGGATGAGTGATGGGATGCCCTGACTTTTCCTTTTGCTAATGGTTTTATAGAGAGAACACAAAACCTCCTCAGCTCCTCTTTTGCTCCTTCTCTTCTGTGAGGAGAAGGATTTCTAGAGTAGAAAGGACAGAGTGAGCACCCAAGAGAGGCTCCTAAAGGCAGTTTATTCCAAAAGAGCCTTTAGCTGCTCTGAGTAATTTCATCTCATACTCTGGATCAATAACAGCCCAGAGCATTGTGAGGACTTGCAGCTCAGGTTGCAGGACAACTAGTGGTAGCTGTTATAATCCCATAGAAAGTGAAGAAGATGCACACTGCAACTTAGAGATGGGCAAACGTGGCTCCACAGTTTTACAAATAGGAAGAGATGAATTCCATAAACTATAGATCAATACATTTAATATTGATTGAGGGCAAGAGTCCAGGACAAATGAGTAAAAGGATGGTTGGTGAGCACTTGCAAAAGGAAGTGAAGATTGCTCAGCCCCTGCATGGATTCAGGAAAAACAAATCATCCCCCACTCAGCTCATTTCCTTTGAAAGGGTGACTGGATGGGTAGATGAGGAGAAGGCTACACCTACAGTGTATCTGGAGTGCAACAAAACATTATCTTAGGATACTCTTGGGACAATATGCAGGAATATGAGGTGGATAAAGATAGGTGTGTGCAGATTCTTAACCAATTGAATGACTACACACAAAAAAGTTCTGTTTTAATGTCTCTAGATCAAATTTGAATATTACACATACATGGGAGAGAAAACCAAAATGACAGAATCAGAATTCATAGAGATGCCCAGAGGCTGGTATGATGGACTCACTATAGCAAAATAGAACGTAACAGGGACATAACCTTTCTATGATACATTTTCCTGCTCTTATTTCCAGGTTCCTAGGCATCCAGTAAAAAGGTTTAGGGCTAAGGCAGTAAAAGATGTCCCACAGAGAACTTAGGAGCAAGAGCCCAGAGGAAGACCCTTAGAACATATATGGGAAACATGTAAGCTTTCCTCTTACATGTTAAATACCTGGGGAGGGCAGCCTGGCACAAGACTGCAATTCCGGTGGATCAACTAGAAGAGCTCAACAATTGCAATGCAATCATTACTGGAAGATGGAGAACCCCAGGACCTCTGGGTTACAACGAACTCACCAGAACTGATAATCAATTCTGTATTCAGAACTAGAAAGACAATAGTGAGCAAGATGGATGTAGTCTTGAACCTCACAGATAAGACAAATATTCAACACATATGTACAAATATGAAGTTTATTCCGATAAAGATTAGTCTGTGAAAAACAAGAAAGTTAGCAGGAACAAATATAAAGTCACTCATTTGAATTCCAAAATGTAATAGTATAGCCCTAACCAGTTTGGCTCAGTGGATAGAGCATCAGCCTGCGGACTGAAGGGTCCCAGGTTCGATTCCAGTCAAGGGCATGTACCTTGGTTGCGGGCACATCCCCAGTAAGGGTGTGCAGGAGGCAGCTGATCGATATTTCTCACTCATCAATGTTTCTAACTCTCTATTCCTCTCCCTTCTTCTCTGTAGAAAATCAATAAAATATATTTTAAAAAAACAAAATGTAATAGTATCAGTGTAGGATGTGAGAGATGTGGCTTAGAGGGTTTTTAAGTAGATGAAAGCTTATCATGAGCCATGAGTCAAAAGTATAGTTTGGCCCTAGCTGGTTTGGCTCAGTGGATAGAGCGTCGGCCTGTGGACTGAAGGGTCCTGGGTTCGATTCTGGTCAGGGCACATGCCCAGGTTGTGGGCTCGATCCCCAGTAGGCAAGGCAGCCGATCAATGATTCTCTCTCATCATTGATATTTCTATCTCTCTCCCTCTCCCTTCCTCTCTGAAATCAATAAAAAAAATATTTTTTTAAAAAAGCATAGTTTGGTTCCTGTAGAATGTCTTGTGACCTTGAGCTGCATTAAAAAGAGTATAATGTCCAGAATAAAGGAGGTGACCATCATGTGGTATTCTGCACTGGTCAGACCATGCCTGAGGCCCTCTGTTCAGCTGCGGGCATCACACTTCAAAGGAGAAGTCAACAAAAGTATATCCAGAGAAAGAGAATAGTGAAGGGACTGGAAAATCCCAGGAGAAATTTGTCCTCTGTCAAAAATTCATTACTGGGTTCATGGTGAAGAGGAAGCTATAGATTTATTCTGTGTATATCTC